CTCCTCGATCAGTTTTTTGCCAGCAAAGACCAAAAATTTTATGAGCGTGGAATTATGCTACTACCAGAAAGATGGCAAAAGGTGTTGGACCAGAACGGTCAATATATAATTTAATAAAGTATTTGTTTATTATACGAAACCTTTCTTTCATTTCCACAAAAAAAAAACGAAATGACTTTCCGAACAACCTAATATTGCATATTAATCCACTATTAAGTAACTAACAATGTTATAGGATTTCATTTATTTAGGATAGAAGACGACTGGATGTAGACCTAGATTAGATTACTGTTCACAAATAGTAGAAGATATAGAATGTTGTAGTTTTAAGGAAATGCAAAGATTAGCTCAGGATAGAAAAGAGTGAAGGTACGTGTCCAACCAGTCTCAGGACTGACGACCTTGTGGTGATGATGACCGAAATAAGAAATTCAACTTTGTCGTCGTACCATGATGTTTAATATACACCTTTAACATTTCGATTTGACGCAAAGCTGTCTTGTAGTAGTGAATATGTGCCCAACATCAAGCAATTAAAAATAAAAAGTACCATTTCTATCCAGGCTACTGGTAAATACATTTCTTCAGGGAACATGTCCATATGTGATATTCCAAACGGTTTCCTAACCAACACGTTCAATTGAAATCGACTTACACCAACCATCGGAAAGCCCAATTTGTGCAGATTAAGGAAGGAATCGTGTTTTTCCGGGTCGGGTTGCAGCCCTTCTATATTTTTCATCAGCACTGGATCTGCGTTGTAAAAATGCGGCAAAGAAATAAAAAAGGGGGCACCTGTAACAAACAAAAGGAAGAAATTCAAAATTGTGTTTAAAAGAAAAGTCACGAATAATTCATTTCGAACTTTGAAAAGAGATTATTAAAAGTTTCTTTGTAGTAAGGGATCTTTAAAAATTCGTAATCCTTTCGGCGTTACCGTCAGTGGAGTAAACGCGGGGAGGTGGTTGGACGTTTAATTTGTAATTTATTTTATGAAAATGCGACAAATACGCTTAGACTTTTGCTAGTTACACGAATTGCACCACCTATGAAATATCAACCTAGAATAGAAACAAAATTTATTTGACATTTCCAAGGTTTTATTCCCTTGAAGTGCTAGGTTAATTTCTACTTTTATTAAAAAATAAATTGAAAGGAATTTCGATGGAATTCGGTTCACAAAACGGTAGGATATTTTTGTTCTAACTTAAATCGTGTGCAATTGTTGTTATCATATCGATAACATATTATTTTCATTATTAATTATTTATTGTAGGGCGAAAATGTATATTCCTTGTGATCCTGTCTTTGACAGTTCACCTTCTCCTACTGCTATGCACGTTGGATATTTATTTTTCCACACCTCTCGTGCACACTTCGAATCATTTTAAAGTGAAAGGGGTCAAGCCTCCGGCTAATAGAATCGTTTTTATACTGGCCGATGGGCTAAGTGCTGCCGCATTCTACACGAAAAACTTTTCAACAGTGACCCCCTTTCTTCAGTAAGTCGTAGACAAAATTCTTGTCATAAATGTATTGCTTCAACACAATAGATTTAAAAAAATTCGAAGTGGTCTGTGTTCTGTCGAAGCTGCCAGACGCGGATTGCGATTTCGATCTTTTTTTATCTTATCAGCGCATCGCAGGAAGCTCCCACAGAAGTCAGACCAATTTTTACCTGCTGTCTTAACAGTGCGTTTTAGAAAATACTACAAATGGCGCGGTAAACGCCATCTGTAGTACGATGCTACATACGAGCATACGTAATCCTAAAATGTAGCATCGTACTACAGATGGCGTTTACCGCGTCATTTCTGGTATTTTCTAAAACGCGCTGTCAAGACAGCAGGTAAAAGTTGGTCTGTGTTCTGTCGGAGCTAACTGTGCCGCGCTGATGAGATCCAAAAAGATCGGAATCGCCATCCGCGTCTGGCAGTTTCGACGGAATACAGACCACTTCGAATTATTTTATTCGATTATGGTAACGTGCCTACCACGTTGAGGTTAGCTACGCCGGGATTCGCTTCAGCAAGTAGATATCCACATAAGTTGACCTTGTTGGAGCATACGTAATCCTAAAATGTAGCATCGTACTACAGATGGCGTTTACCGCGCCATTTGTGGTATTTTCTAAAACAATAGGTTTATCTATATCTGTAAGAATGGATTGATTATCATTGGTCCTCATTCAAATATGACTTGTTACATGCAATTCTATGAATAATATTTGTTTTATCTTTCTCTAAACATAAAAATAAATCTAGTACCTCAGATAAAATGTATATAATTTATAAAATTCCATGTAATAATTGTCCCAAAGATTACGTTGGACAAATAAAAAGGCCATGCACATAAAAAGGAGAACATAAAAATGATACTAAAACATCTGTCTATAAACAAATCTTGAGCCAGATTAAAGTAAAACTAAAAGATTAAAAGATTAGTAAGACCTTATTTCAAATCAAACTTTCTTAATGCCATAGTTCGATTAAAGAGAACGAAAGCAGTTGGGGTTTGTCTCATGTTCAACCCCCCACCGAATCGAGACCCCAGCATACGGCCCTCTTGGCCGGATTCAACGAAGACCCGAGCTCGATTTTTTCGCGATGGAAATATAATCTGTACGATTTTGATACGGTCCTTCGTCTGGCCAATATGACGTTTTATTTCGGGAGTGCGGCTTGTTTCAGATATTTTCATAAACGTGAGTCGTTAAGAACATATAAAAAAAAATTAATAAATAATTATCTGACGTTATTATTAGAATACTATTCGAATATGATTTATGTTGGATTCGATCGGAAAATAGATCACAGTGTCCATCCAAGAATACCGATATATGTGGAAAGGGCGGTTTTCAATAAAGCCCGGAATTTTATAAGGAAAGGCCTGGTGCCGCGTTCAGCCAAAGGTCAAATAATATTTGTGTACGTTGAAGGAACAGACCTATTGGCACACTCATTTTCCCACCATTCTCGGTAAGACAATGTCCAATCTCAAAAGTAATTCGGAAAATAATACAAAATTTTCGAGTCTAATTAATTCGTTCTTATTGTCTTTTTATTAACCGTAACCTTCTGATCCTAAGCAATAAAAGAAAGAATTCATTCGTTAATACATTTATAATGTAAAAAAAGAAATTAGTAAAAGATTAATAAACATAAAAATTAAAAAAAAAGGCTGAAGTATCGGTTGAGCATGGAGCTCGCGACTATTTGCACGGCAGCCGACGGACGATACCACTTGGCCATTGCCGTTTCTTGAAAATTGTCTTGTATCTTACCAAATGGCGCAGTTTCAGCATTATAATGGCGTTGTAATCCCGACAACTACTTCCATTATTAAAAACCCTATCGAAACATTCACTTTATTTACGTTTAAGATGTTATAACTTCTATATTAGCTTCTTCAGGTATTTTCGAAAAAATCTGATGGTTCTCGACGAAGAAGTACAAGAACTGGTAAAAACTATAAAATCGTACTTCAACGACGACAAAACTGCATTTATATTTACATCGGACCATGGAATTACAGTTGATGAGTACAGTAAGCGATCGCACGGTGGTGGATCGAAAGGAGAGATAGAGGTCCCATTTTTAGCATGGGGTGCGGGAATTTCCGTCGACAAAACCGAACCCAAAAACTTAAAATCTATTGACATCCCCCCGTTAATTTCAGCATTAATTGGAATTGCTTTTCCCAGAAATTCGTTGGTACTATTGATTAGGTCTTGTCTAATTTTTTTTTTTTTCGATTTTGTACATTTTATCAATATCGCATACTACAATTTTGCTATCAACCATAAGAAGAAAACATGACATCAAAAAAAAAGGATTTTTTAAAATTCTTGAGCGAACTTTGAAAAAATATTAAATTAGCCTCCTATAACGCGAAAAACCAAATCGATTTTCATACAGCACTTACAGGATCATAAATAAAAATTAGTCGAGAAAGTAAACCATCCTGGTATTTATGTTTAATATCCTGAGACACCGTAAAAATGCGAGCATACATTTAAATGTTTTGCAGGGATCGATTCCATTGAACGTTTTGAACATTTCTTCACGCGTTGCCGGTCACATGTTGATTGCAAACGCTCTACAATTGACCGATGTGTTTTACGCAAAACAAGACAAACTAATAAACAACCCTGCTGTATTATTTGTGGCAGAAAACAAATTTTTAATGCAAAATAAGATTGATGAATGGAAACGAGCTATGATAGACCTTTTTTATACCACAAGATTTACTAAATCAGTAAGAAATAATATATAATAGATATTTGCTATTGATTCTCTCTGCTTAACACTCATTGCGTATTAGTGATGAGCAAAGAAAGAGCAATATACTTCGTTTACTTTCTGTAGCGATGTGACCTTCAGTTTGACCGGCGCAAAGTAGAAAAGAACAGCACTAGGCCAGAAAAGAAAGGAGACAACTCTCGGCCAAACTCTTAACGGGTGAGGAGCGTATAATCCGTACAGTACTACACGGAAAAATTGACAATTTTAACCATTACAATTGTCAAATGTGCTGTTATTGGTACCAATTACTACTGAAAATATCAACGAGATGTTTATTTATATTTGAAGACACGTTAAAGGCTTAAACGCTTGTTTTCGACTCGCACTACTATTCATGATTGAACAAAACTTTTGGAAGGTACTGTATGAAAAAGTATGTTTAATCAACAACAGTCGGGAATATAATGAGCTTTTTTCTCTCTACCAACGATTTTGCCAGCGCGCATCCAATACATTGAAAGAGGCACATCGCTAGAGATAATAAATGAAGTATACCAAGATTTTTAATCTATACATCGAAGACGCCATCAACATCATTAAAGACAGTACAACTGTAGGGATAGATAGACAGGGGCAAAAGATTAGTATGCTTAGATTTGCAGATGATATAGCAGTATTAGCATCTAGCAAGGAGGACCTAGAGATAGCTTTAAATAAAATGGAAGCGGTACTGACAGATCAGTACTGTATGAAAATAAATAAAAGTAAAACTAAAATACTGATATGCAAGGGAAGAAAAAGTAGGGAAAGAGCGAATATAAAGATAGGAGACGAAAAATTAGAAGAAGTGGCTGATTTTAGATACCTAGGAAGTCAGATAAGTGAGGATGGAAGGAGTAGTAGGGATATAAAGCAGAGGATAGCGCAGGGTCGTGTCGCCTTTAATAAAAAGAAGTCACTTCTATGCTCGCGAACGGTTAAATTAGAAATTCGAAAAAGGTTGTTAAAGGTGTATGTTTGGAGCACGGCGTTGTACGGGTGCGAAACATGGACAGTGGGCGCGGCGGAAAAGAAAAGGTTAGAAGCGTTCGAAATGTGGTGTTATAGGCGGATGATGAGGATATCGTGGGTAGAAAAGGTTAGAAATGAAGAGGTATTGGAAAGAATAGGAGAACAGAGGACTCTATGGAAGTCAATAAAAAATAGGCGAGATAGGTTGGTAGGACACCTTCTCAGGCATGAAGGTCTAGTCAGAGACATATTAGAGGCAGAAACAGGAGTTAGGAGGGGTAGAGGTAGACCTAGATTAGATTACTGTTCGCAAATAGTTAAGGATGTGGGCTGTTCTAGTTTTAAGGAAATGCGAAGTTTAGCTCAGGATAGGAAAGAGTGAAGGTACGTGTTCAACCAGTCTTAGGACTGATGGCCTTATGATGATGACCAAGATTGTCCAAGTTTTGATATTGGTCTTGGTCTTCCTGATTTAGTCTTGGTATAGCGTGTTAACTCTTGGTCATGCTTATTTAATCTGAAATTTAGTTTTTTATTTTAATAATTTTTCTAAACACACATTATTCTATCTATATTGCATTTTCGCAAAATCAATACCAAGACCAACTTTGTTCATCACTAATTTCGTACCTCCACTATTAGACACACGATGGTGTCAAAAGATTTTGAGAGGCCGATTAGCTTAGGACGATTTTCCGATGAACGTTATTCCTTACCTGTATAACTCTACTGATTTCCCTAGCATGCCAAAAACTTACAAATAGTTTATTGTCTTTCAGATTGATGTTGCTTTAGAATATATTGATAATGTAATGAATGCGATTCGATATTACGACAGTTACTCTTATTGGTATCGTACCGTTTTCGTTATGGTGGCTGCAGTTGGCTGGCTAATCAATTTGTTAACTTGGCTACCAATGAGTGATAATGTTTACAGCGATCAGACCAGCAAAAAGAAAAGAAACACAGTTACCGCTTATGTAATGGTTAATATGTTTCTTTTTTTACTGTATCACGGTGAGTAAATAAGAAAAATAAAATATAGTTGGGACGTTCAAAATTGGCATAGTCATATCGTAAACATAGAAAAGAGATGTCAGATAGGAGTTGTAGCATCTCTTTCTCTGTACCATTATACTGTAATGTTCGTGGGTTTAACAAAATTAACATCTAAGAATGATAAGAACAAAAACTATTTATTTACACTAATTATTAAAGAACTTACAACACTATTAAATTATTACTAAATTTAGGTTATCAATTATTCTATTTATTTACACTACTGTTGATATATCACTATTCACAGCGCTACTTATTTCACTGTCAATTTATTTCTGGATTCACTTCTGCAACGGTCAATTTATTTCTTCTCTTCTCGGCGATCGTCTCTTCCTTTTAATACTTTTTGTTTACTTTCTGGAATCTTCTGGAAACATCCGGATAGTTTATTTTTTCTTTGAACTGTTTAACTGCTTTCCCAGAACGCAGGTACGACACACACGGGCCCGCGGCTAGTCGGCGAATCGATAAGCCATTCACGCACACGTGTGCCCGATACGTTCATTCTCACCGATAATTTTGATCGTCCGAAATATAGATATTTATTTTATAAGTAAAATGTTTTTCCAGTTTTCGGTAGTAAATATGACTACATCCTGTATATATTTTTTCCGTCATTTACTTGGTTCCTTGTTTACATTAGAAGAGCATCTTTAAAACGATTATGTAAAGGCATCTTCAAATGTAAAGTAAAAGACACAATAGCGATGGCGGTGTTTTTTGGATTTGGAACAGAAATGCTGGTACGCAATCGAAAAGATTGTTGTGTACAACACCTTCATATTTCTTTACCATTTAAATTATATTGCAGATTTTGACGTTTTTTAATAGGAAATATTTAATTCCCGTCGTCATTGGAATCATTTGTTCTTCGTACAACAGAGCTCGTAAAAAGACGGCATTGGCTCACGTTTGGATAATTTTGGGACTTTTCATTTGCGTCATACTTTACCTGCCTCCAGCAGATCCTGATTACAATTTATATTATCAGTAAGATTTTATATTTACTTATTTATTTGACCAGTAGGTAGCGCACCCCCGCGACTAAATTCGAAATAATTCTTAGCTGTGACTTACTTTACGGTGAGGCGGGAGTAGAAACTCCCTCCCTCTCTAGCGCACGATCTATGCAGTAGTTTTTGCTTGATGTTCTACTTCAAATAAAGTAACAAATTTCAAAAAAATTTAATTCAAACGCAGTTATCATAAATTATTTTATATTTATCTTATTTTAGACTACTGTACTTCAGTTTGTTCTGTATTGCTATCATATATCTGGATAAACGCACTAAAAATGGTGCTGTTACTTCTTCGTGGTTTGATTTTCTGATGAAATACAGAAAAAATTTCCTGTTGGTCCTGGTGCTAACCCTACTTAACAATTTTACCACGGACATTGCTTTTCAATGGAAATGGTACGATGTGATAACCGCTGGCCAATTTATTTCATGGTTCAGCTTGCGTAAATATACATCAATCACCTTCGTCCCATTTCTCTCTAATTATTGTAATTATTTTTCAAGTCTATGCAATTATATTTATTCTTCGATCCCCGAAAACAATTTGCTATCGCTTATCAAGTCTAGTGTATGCTCCAATGCCGATTTATGTTCTGTTAAATGGGAGCATGCCACCCATCGCCATGTTGTTGTTTATTGGTTTTGTAATCATTTGGACTATCAGTGAACTGGTAGTAAGTGAACAATCAGAAGTTATGTGGAATATCCCATACGACGATAATAATGTTACGGTAAATATGGTCTCTCATCGGGAGAATGCGCGAAAGATTTTTATTTTTGTATCCTTACAAAGTCCTAAATATAGGTACACTATGTTTGATCAGTACTTCAGAAAAATTAAGGGAGAAGAAAGTATGTACCTACATGAAAAGGAAACAGAAAGGGTCATCTCGCGCCACTCAGTGATATACATAAACTTGAGGATAATGACCTTCCGAAAGCCCCAACTGCTTCGGCAATAATGACGCGTTTTTTGTTTGATATTGAATAGTAGCTACGGAGTACAAGCTACTACACGTGCAATTGGCTTGTCTGTGTATCAGCTGTTACGAAGGTCACGAGTGTTTCATCACTTGACGCTTGCGATAATGCAGCTGCCAAATTAGCAACTATTTTCAATGATTAATGGCTCGTTAACGACAGTAGCTACTACACGTACAATTGACCTGCCAGTGTATCAACTGTTACGAAGGTCACGAGTATTTCATCATTTGACGCTTGCTATAACGCAGCTGCCAAACTTGCAACTGTTTTCAGTCATTAACGGCTCGTTAACTAGGGTAGCTGCTACACGTGCAATTGACCTGTCTATGTATCAGCTGTTACGAAGGTCACGAGTATTTTATCACTTAACGCTTGCTATAACGCAGTTGCCAAACTGGCAACTGTTTTCAGTCATTAACGGCTCGTTAACTAAGGTAGTTGCTACACGTGCAATTGGCCTGTCTATGTATCAGCTGTTACGAAGGTCACGAGTATTTTATTACTTGACGCTTGCTATAACGCAGCTGCCAAACTGGCAACTGTTTTCAGTCATTAACGGCTCGTTAACTAAGGTAGTTGCTACACGTGCAATTGACCTGTCTATGTATCAGCTGTTACGAAGGTCACGAGTATTTCATCACTTGACGCTTGCTATAACGCAGCTGCCCAACTGGCAACTGTCTTCAGTCATTAACGACTCGTTAACTAGGGTACTTTTTGTGCATCCTTTTTACACTCCCTACATTGTAACGCTATCATTAGGTGCATTCTACACTGCCTGCAGATGTTACCTTTCAAATATTCCCTAATACCGATCAGACATAGTGTACAGTTGACCGTCGTGTCACCTAGATAGTATTACGTCCTTGACAATAGACAGATGTCTCTTTGTGCGCTGGTCTTTTTTGAAACACTTGATATGAATACATACAGAACACTGTCGTATTCTGAGGGAGATAACTCAATTAATAATTTTTTGATTGCCGTGAAGATTGTTTTGCCCTTTATAATACTAACTAGTAGCTTCCTTGTCCTTGTGAAGGCAAGTAAGATAGAAATCGGTTTTGTTTTCACACTGCTGCTCTTGTTTTCGACTGTGATGATGATGCAAGTTTTCTTCACTGTGAAAACCCAGGGCTCATGGAAAGAAATTACCATAAGTCTGGTTAGATTTATTATTGCAACAATAATACCGTTCGGGGTTTTGGTGACTTATTATGTCAGTTATATTTTGGCCAAGACGGAGATGCACAACACTGTGCGATTTATAAGGCAACACGTGAATTTGTTTTTTGATTTTTATGAAATATTGTAATTGTAAGTATTTTTATTAATAAAAGTTGTTTTAAGTGTTCCATTTTTCCAATTGTAATTGATGATGCCTTGGCGCCAGCCTAATCTAACGTAGTTTGATGGACACTTTTTCACTACACTTGTCGAAAAATTCATAAACGTATTAGATGGCCTTGAGACTTGTCACTGTGACATTTTTACATTATCCATTTTTGTCTGCCTGAATAACGTAAAACCTTCCCATATCCGATTATACATGTGCGATAATGCAGAATTTGTCGAAGACGACTTCAAACCGTTGATGGTGAAGTTTACAATTAGCCACGTGCTAGAGGGACCCGAGGACGTGGTCACCTACGCATTAAACTACTTCAAGGCTCTGCAAGAAGCCAGAGAACGCTACCGGATCTGTCAAGAAGCCGCGACGATCAGCACAGAGGTAACGGAGGTTCCCGAGGGTGACGAAATCGATGGGCCTCAATTGGAATTTCGAAGGAACTGTGTCTTCAGTGACGACTACAATCCCCAAGAGGACTTCGGCGTCGACAAAGTCCTTCACGAGAAGACCGACGAGGAACGCGCCCACATCGTAAACACCGTTTGTGACACGTTCCCGTTCACGTTGTTGGATATGAACCAAATGAATTGTGTCGTAGATGCCATGCTTCCAATGGATGTGATCGCTGGAGATGACATTATTCGTCAGGGTGACGATGCCGATAAGTTCTTCATCGTCAGAAGAGGTGTCTACTACGTTCACAGCAGCGACCAAGGAAAACCGACAAAGCTACTGGCAGTGTTAGATCAGGATGGCTATTTTGGCGAAAAAGCCTTGTGCCACAGAACAGAGTATCCCTATAACGTGAAAGCAATGACCGATGGAGAACTGTGGGTCATCGAACGGTACGTGTATCGACGGAGGGTCACCAAAGCGGCCTTCTACAAGAGGAAATTCGACGAAGAACTGATCAATTGCATGCCTTATTTCAAAGATCTCTCGGTGAGCAATCGCATGTGCTTGGTTGACAATCTCGTCCACAAGGTCTACGCCCCTGGCGAAACTATAGTCAAAGTGGGCGATCCTTCGACCGCTATCTATTTTGTAGTGAGAGGAATTGTCAAAATTACTATTATTAACGATTGCGGTCTCGAAGTGACCATCAACGAACTTGAAAAACCCGACTATTTCGGAGAAGCTGCGTACCTTTGGAAAAAGCCCAGGTCGTTTTCGGCTTATGCAGACGACAATACCGAAGTCGAAGTCGCGTACTTGGAAGTGGACGCATTCGAAAGGACCATTGGCTCTATAGCGGACGTTTTGGGCAAAGTGTTTAAGAGTCATCAGTTGAAAACTAGACCTTCCGATTCCACTAACGACGATCAGTCGGTCTGTTTTTAATACGAAGATTTATGAAGATGTTTGTTAAGATTTTTATATTTTTTCGCTATTTTATTTTATTATACTATGCAAAACAGACCCCCGGTTTTTTCTTAGACCCTAGAAGAAACTATGTTGAACCTTCCCCCCTTTTAAAGTAATTTAAATTCACCTACACCTTAGGTTCGAAGTATGGTGTTACAGGCGAATGATGATGAGGATACCGTGTATTAGAAAGAATAGGAGAACAGAGGACTCTATGGAAGTCAATTAAAAATAGGCGAGATAGGTTGGTAGGACACCTTCTCAGGCATGAAGGTCTAGTCAGAGACATATTAGAGGCAGGAATGAGAGTTAGGAGGGGTAGAGGTTGACCTAGGTTAGATTACTGTTCGCAAATAGTTAAGGATGTGGGTTGTTCTGGTTTTAGGGAAATGCGAAGTTTAGCTCAGGATAGGAAGGAGTGGAGATACGTGTCAAACCAGTCTTAGGACTGATGACCTTATGATGATGATGATGACACCTTACGTATAATACCAACAATGAGTAGGAATGTAAGGACAACTTAAAGTAATCGTGGCTTAACCTTCAAAAGTATAACATTAAAAAGAAAACGACCTTGAATGCTGCGGCGGAATCTAAATCATTCCAGCTAAAGAAGGTTAGCAAAATCGTGACAGTTTGATACATTGCAGAGCCAACTTCACAGAGTTTGCCATAAACTGTACATCCGTTCACATTGATCTTAAAATAAAGATCTTTTTTTTTTAAACCTCCGCTTCTACTTCTAATGCTAAAAAGTGCATTCTTTTTGAAGCAACCGTCTGTCAAAAATGACATTCTGGCATTTTTGTACGACACTATTTGAACGACATTCATTTTACGTTGATTGATTTCTTCAAACTACTCATTGATGACTTATTTCACGCTCCCAAAGGAATTTGGTGATGTAATAAGTAACTTCGCAGAGAGCTATCTTACCGATCGGCCGGACGATATTATTGAATATGCAGCTGGGTATTTTGAGCGTTTACAGGTACCTAAATAATAGTCGTACGTTACAGACTGTTATTCGATAAAGTTTCGCGCACTTGCAGTTGAACAGGCGCCCCCTCATGATACTCGGATCCATGGAATCGAACACGTCTCTCACCCCCTTAACTAACATCAGTAGTAGTAGCAGCAGCACCTACAGTAGCCATACAACTTCCCCACTTCAACAGATTGAACAGGAGGAAGACGAGGTCACAATTTCAGCAAGTCCTCAAAAAAATACGGAAGAATATTCGTATCTCATGGACATGCTCCGGAATATACCTCGTTTTTCTACCGTCGACGAAGTGATCTTAAAAGACATAGTTGACATGATGTATCCAATTTTCGTGTCAGCAGGCGACACTGTGTTTGATCAAGCCGATCCTCGAAACAATATCTACGTGATAGAGCAGGGTTGGTACCCATTTGAAAGCATTAGCTTGACGTATTTTTTTTTTATTGAGGATAGAGTACTGACGACTCTGTTTGTGAAGTTGGGGTACTTTTTGACGAAACATATGTAGAGTTTGACAATACCTCCACCCTAATTTCGTCTCTTTGTGTCGCAGGTATCTTCCATGTTATTACGCTCAGTCGCGACACTTGTCAAGAAGAAATTCTATATGTTTACTCACATCAGGGCAATTTTGGGCAGATGTTCGTTAGAGAAAACTGTCCCATTCCAGCGTCAGTAAGAGCAGTGACCAATGGCGTTTTATGGATAATCGAAGGACGGGTCATCCACAGAATAATTGCAGGATTGAAAAAGTCCACAAATATCATTAACAATTAGTTCAGAGTCAATTTATTTATATATATATATATACATCCACGCATTTTATTCTACGCGTGTACTTATATGTTATACTATTATGTAATTTTTATTTTGTTTTGAGTTAGTTTAATAAAAAGAAGTCACTTCTATGCTCGCGAACGGTTAATTTAGAAATCCGAAAAAGGTTGTTAAAGGTGTATGTTTGGAGCACGACGTTGTACGGGTGCGAAACATAGACAGTGGGCGCGGCGGAAAAGAAACGGTTAGAAGCTTTCGAAATTTGGTGTTATAGGCGGATGATGAGGATAACGTGGGTAGAAAAGGTTAGAAATGAAGAGGTATTGGAAAGAATAGGAGAACAGAGGACTCTATGGAAGTCAATAAAAAATAGGTGAGATAGGTTGGTAGGATACCTTCTTAGGCATGAAGGTCTAGTCAGAGACATATTAGAGGCAGAAACAGGAGTTAGGAGGGGTAGAGGTAGACCTAGATTACATTACTGTTCGCAAATAGTTAAGGATGTGGGCTGTTCTAGTTTTAGGGAAATGCGAAGATTGGCTCAGGATAGGAAAGAGTGGAGGTGCGTGTCCAACCAGTCTTAGGACTGACGACCTTATGATGATGATGAAGTTTAATGATTAAATGCGTATTTGGGCAAACCCACAGAAGTCGTCGTCACTATACTTCTTTTGGCCTTTGGATTTTCCATTCTATGGAAATCATAGAAGTTCAAAACGTTTCCTTTGAGCGTGACAGTTTATGGCATTTTGAATTCTGAAGGAAGAAAATGGATCCCACAAGGAGATATAAATGTAAAGATCAAATAAAGGAGCAAGCAGAACTGGACGAGGAGTTCAAGGACATGTTCATGGAGCTATCGTTGAACATCCTCTTGGATCATCCGACTGATCACATCGGCTACTCTGTCGACTTTTTTCAAAAGATGCAAGACAGCCGGCATACGCGGCTTGTGTATGACATTCAGATACCAGAACCGTCCACGTTATACTCGGAGGATTATTACGACGACGACGAGCCCCAGTTAGAATTCCGAAGAAGTTCGGTGGTCGGCGAATACTACAATCCGGACGAAACATTCTTCGACGCGACCCCAATATACCCAAAGAACGACCAGCAACTGTACTACATTCAGAAAACGGTCAATAACGTTTTCCTATTTCGTATTTTAGACGAGAACACCAGAAACGCCCTCATCAACGCCATGTACGAAGTAATAGTAAGTGCGGATGAGGTTATAGTCAAAGAGGGGGAGAAAATCGACAAGTTCTACATTGTTGGAAGTGGTAGCTTTTACGTTATCAAGACGGACGAGGAGACATTCCAACCGATGGTAACGGAAATCTTGCAAAATTCGAGAAGTTTCGGTCAAGTGGCGTTGCTTCACGAAGCCAATTGGGACTCTACCATCCAGGCAATGACCGATGGAACATTATGGGCTTTGGAGCGCGCCACTTACCATCATTTCGCTGTTAACTTTTCGTTCCTCCGAAGGAAATACGGAGAGAAACTGATCAACAAAGTGCTCCTCTTGTCGAATTTACCACCTGGGATCTTAACTACAATTGCCGAATTACTTGACATCCGTACATACTCGCCAGGGGAGAGGATCATCAAGGAATCTGACAAACCAGACGGCGTCTACTTCGTGATTAACGGAAGTGTAGTTTTGACATTTATAAATAATTGCGGTCTTGAAGAACTCATCAGGAAGGTCGCGGTGGAAGATTGTTTTGGCGAAGTTTGCCTTGTGACAGACAAGCCGAGAAGCTTCTCGGCTTATGCGAGCGAAGAGGAAGCCGCGGAGGTCTTTTTCTTGGAGAAAGCCAAGTTCGAACGGGTTTTGGGACCCACCATAGATGTACTGAGAGAAAATATATGCTTGTACCAACAGCAGAAACGAAAGATGGACTTTTTTGTGTCGGATTCCTGCTATGGAGAACTTTAAACTGAAATACTACGGTCATTTTGTGTATCGTATAAGATGCCATAGTGATTTGAAATGTCAAATGTCATCAACTGACTTCAGTTTTTGTACCAACATATACAATTTTTTTAACTCATGAAAACCTTCCAAAAACAACAGCTCTTTTTTTGTAAAAGTTTTAATATTCGTACGTAATGAACGGATTCGAGCAGAAGCTGCCCGAAGACTTTCAAAGCGTCATTTACTGTTTCGCCCTGTCTCACATGATTGACAAGCCTTCGGACGTGATCAGTTATGCAGCCGATTATTTTCAACGTTTAAGAGAAGCGAGACGAGTCTGTTTAATACTGGGCGAAGAACGGTCCGTCCATGACATCACGCCAATGGAAGAAGAGGGCGAGGGACATAGTATACCGGATCCGCTAACGTTTCAGCCGGACGCGGGACGACGAAAGTGTGTGGCGGCAGAACAGTACGATCCCGAAAAGGACGACGAAGACTACGAGGACGCGTTTTATCCGAAAAACGACCAACAAAAGAACTTCTTGTGGGAGAACATCAAAAATTTGTTGCTGTTCTCGTCTCTGGAGGATACCCAAATAGAAAGAGTGGTGAACGCCATGTTCGAGGTGTCGGTGGTTCCAGGAGACGTCATCATCGAGCAGGGGGACGATGCGGATAATTTCTACGTCATCGAGAGTGGCATCTACAACGTGTACATCTCTTCCGGTTCGAACCAAGCGGCTTCCTTAGTCCACACTTACAATAATCGCGGTTACTTCGGCGAACTGGCTCTGTTGTATAATCAGCCGCGTGCTGCAACTGTCAAAGCTGTGGTGGAAGGTACCCTGTGGGCGTTGTCCCGTCAGGAATTTCGTCACATCGTTCTCAGATCCGCCTACCGCAAGAGGAAGATGTACGAGACGTTTCTGGAAGAGGTGCCCCTGCTCCAAAACCTTACGCAGTACGACCGGATGAACCTGGCTGACGCTCTTGTGCCCAAATATTTCAAACCCAACGAGCGCATCATTCAGCAGGGCGACACAGCTGACGGGATGTACTTTGTCGAAGACGGGACCGTGGTAGTGACAATGGTGAACGACAACGGAATCGAAATTGAACTGACCACGCTGGGGAAAGGCGAGTACTTTGGCGAGTTGGCCCTTATCACTAAGAAGCCTAGGGCCGCTTCCGTCACCGCATACGATAACGTCAAAGTTGCCTTCCTGGACGTAAAGGCTTTTGAAAGACTCCTGGGACCTTGCATAGATATCCTTAAGAAAAACATGACCCTTTATGAGGCCGCCATTAAGGCCATCGGGTCCTAAGAGATTGACGTATTTATTCGTAGATGTATCAAGTAAGAGAAAGTTGGAAAAATTTGAACAAGTGGAAAAATGAGATGAGGACAGTTTGTTCTAGAATCCTTTGACTTGTACTACTAATGTAATAACGGCAGCCCGTTTTCGTGGCATTAGAAGTCAAAAATAACAGTAATATTTCTTGTAATTTACCCGAATCCTTATCAGCAATATAACGACACAGCGTCAAGGTTTGTTTCATTAGAAGTTGAAACAAGATAAGTTCAATAGTAGTGTTGCAACCAATTATAACGCTAATTAAAAAAAAAATACAAGGTGTAATTATACAACACGCTACTGAAGTGAAACTTCCTCAAACACACAAACATACCGGGATAGGGGTTAAGGAATTGGTTTAATGGTATTATTTGTACACTTTGAATTTAAATTTTACACTATACATGCCGGAATTGCCTGTAACGAACGTTGTGTTGAAGCGCGCTCACGGCTCAAGCGGTCCCCGCTACGAACTCGACTACGTGGGCGAGTAGATGGGGGGACATCCGTTGCACGATTTCGTTACACAGCAACTCGCATCAAAAGAGCTTACCCTACCGTGCGTAAAGAAGTTTCACTTTCACAAAAAGGTGCAACGTGACTTGTTTATAATTTTTAATGGTTTTAAATAAATTTAAAAATATAATGGAATAACTCACCAAATGCACAAGCGGATACGTTAAATACACCCCGCGGGGGACATTCGTCGTTCGATTGGCAAAAGCATTTATTTTCTTCAGCGTCAAGATCGAATATATCTTTAGGTAATACGTATCTGGAACACAAAAAAATATAAATAAACAAATATGATAAGTGTATCAAACTATTGAATATTTCAGCGTTTCACTATTCATACCTAATTTTTAAACGATTTCTTATTGTAATAATACCTATTGAATTAGTATTTCTCTATTATTATTCAATTGTATATCAATCTCACCTGTATGCAGGAATTCTACCCTTAAAAACGTTCACTTCTTTGTCGTATATCAGCGGCAATCTTCTGCACATTTCCTTTTTGTAAATGTAAAGCGGCCTCTTGTTTCTCACGGAGTAAGGCGGGAAAAAACTGCCGTCTGATCCTTCAATTCTTCAATAAGAAAAAAAAACTAGTACAAAATATTCATACTAACGTTTTAACACGAGAGGGAGTGTCACTTTGGTACTCAACTTTTTATAGGTCATATCATTTAAGGATCTATCATTTAGAATCAATATACAGCATCAGTTAGAATATGAGTTAGCGTTAAGATGTATTTCATATATCGAATATAATCAGTAGGGTTGTACGTTGTACATAGTGTTGCCAGGTCCGATTTGTTTTAAATCGGGGCAGAAGGTAAAACAAATTAGGATTTAGGGTTGTAGATCGGGACAAACAAAAAACAACGTTTTTTAAATACAACTTATTTATTGCGTTTCGCAACCTACATAATAATAGTCAGACTTGTTGGACTAGTAGAAATTTAAAAATAGGTAATGCGTAATTTTTCATTATTCTAATAATAATGGGTTTTTAATAAATTTATTGATTTATCGGGACATTTAGCGTACAGATCAGGTGCAAATCGGGACGCGTTCTCAAACCCTGAAAATCGGGACGTCCCGCGCAAATCGGGACACCTAGCAACCCTAGTTGTACATGACATGCTTTAGATGATGTGCATGGATGAGGTTAAAAAGCGGATGCATACAATCTCGATTTGCGAATGGAGATGAAGATATAGATACGGATACTTGTTTTTTTTCTGAAAATACTTCGTAGAAATATTGGTGTTGTTTAATACTTTTATTTTCATGCGTTTCTAGAACTCAGTCCATTTTGAAATATCTGAGAAATTTCCAAATTGGATATTTTGTTTAGTTATATGATGGATATTGTTATAGATAAACGAACGCAATAAGAAATAGGCGAGATAGTTTGGTCGGATACCTTCTCAGGCATGAAGGTCTATAGTCAGAGACATATTAGAAGCAGAAACAGAAGTTAGGAGGAGTAGAGGTAGACCTAGATTAGATTACTGTTCGCAAACAGTTAAGGATGTGGGATGTTCTAGATTTAGGGAAATTCGAAGATTAGCTCAGGATAAGAATAAGTGGAGGTGCGTGTCTAACCAGTCTTAGGATTGACGATCTTATGATGATAACGAGAAAGTGAAAGATGTACAATCACATTTCATCCTCATCAGAATGTGTGGATATAGATGAGGATGCGGATTGGATACACTTTAACGTTGCGGATGCGAATGAAGGTGCGGATTTAATATAGTTTAACGTTGCGGATGCGGATGAGGGTGCGGATTTGATACAGTTCAACGTTGCGGATGCGAATGAAGGTACGGATTTGATATAATTTAAAGTTGCGGATGCAGATGAGGGTGCGGATTTGACACAGACTAACGTTGCGGATGCGAATGAAGGTGCGGATTTGATACAATTCAACGTTGCGGATGCGAATGAAGATACGAATTTGATACAATTCAACGTTGCGAATGCGGATGAGGGTGGGGATATTAAAATTCCTGCGGATCGTCCGCACTTGCGGATGCGGATGCGAATGCGAATATCCGCTACAACCGTAATGGATCAGAACAGAATGAGGAAATATTTTTAACTCGATAAGTAACTAATGTAAGTCCTACAGTGACACTTTATAGACTTGTTGTGTTCTTCTTTGTATATATCTAGTAATATCGGACATACTCACTTATTACACCTTTTTCCGTGCCAATGCGGCAATGAGCCTTGTCCATTATAACTGTTTACGTAATTTAATTTTGACATTCCATTCTCCCCTGTATTAACCGTTATAATATCATTCGAGGTACCGTTTCTCTGAAAAACGAAATAATCAATTAAAATCACTGAAATCGTTCTGACAAGGAAGCCGTTAATTGTTATTATTATTGCTATTTACTTTAATCGATTCGCGCAAACGTTGTGTAACTCGAAACGAATATCCTAAATCAAATTTGAAATAAAAAAAAAAAAACATTTCTTTTTATCATAATTTCATGACTGAGTTAGTTTCACGATAACCCAAAAACCTTTTCGCAAGGTCGAAAAAAGGAAATTACACAGATAAAAAATATTATTTGTAACATTTTTATGTACATAACAAAAGTATATTAGAAATCGTTTACTTATTAAAACAAAGTTGGTTGCAAGATTTTTTTTTTTTTAAACAGGTACCACCTTTCCAAAAATTCCTTGCTGGCTACGTCATTATCAAAGATGCGCTTAAAAAATACCAAACTGAATTATGTTCAAAATAATTTGAAGTGGTCAGTATTCTGTCGAAACTGCCAGACGCGGATCGCGATTTCGATTTTTTTGGATATCATCTGCGCGTCGCAGACAGCTCCGACAGAACACAGGCCAACTTTTATCTGCTGTCTTAACGGTGCGTTTTAGAAAATACGACAAATGGCGCTGTAAACGCCATCTGTAGTACGATGCTACATTTTATGATTACGTATGCTCCACCAAGGTCCAATTGTGGGGATATCTACTTGCTGAAAACGAATCCCGGCGTAGCCAACCTCAACGTGATAGGCACGTTAGCTTAATCAAATAAAATAATTCGAAGTGGTCTGTAATCTGTCGAAACTGCCAGACGCGGATCGCGATTTCGATCTTTTTGGATCAATACAGACCACTTCGAATTATTTTATTCGATTAAGCTAACGTGCCTATCACGTTGAGGTTGGCTACGCCGGGATTCGTTTTCGGAAAGTAGATATCCACACAAGTGGACCTTGTTGGAGCATACGTAATCCTAAAATGTAGCATCGTGCTACAGATGGCGTTTACCGCGCCATTTGTAGTATTTTCTAAATTATATTAATTTACATAGAAGACCAAAACCCGTACCAAGACTGGAACAGTTATTAAGATGAGCAATTGGGTTAAATTGAAACATAATCTGACAAAATTAAATTCTTAAGGTCACAAGATTACGATGGGAAAAGGCAACACGAACGAAGTGTCTTGTAATTAAATTATTATTGAATTAACTTACAGCCATCATAAGTCCAAAATTGCCCACTGGCACGTCATCTTCAAGGGGCATTACCGTTTTTGCTAGGGTGTACAAAATGTCCTCGTAGCCCCAAATAAACTTATGGGCCGGCAGATTTATAAACGGTCTAACACCGATACCATTGAATACGGTCGCTAGGCTCAAACGGACCATGTAATACGAAAACCTGTTGACAGATACTGCACCCTAAAGATAACAGGATTAGATTTGAAATAATTGTTTCTTTCTTCGTTCTTTTTGCACTCACGAGCATGGGAAGGTTAGGTACGGTTAGGATGCTGGTTGTCTTTCTCGAAGACAGGTCCGGCCTGAATTTGTATGATCTTTTCTCTTGGTAGCTAACAGTGCTATCTTGATGAAAACGCACGTTCACTTTTTCTAATGTTTCCCTTTAAAAAAAACAAAAGTGTTACTTAGTGTTATGTCAGTTGCTACCATCAGGTTAGTTTCCAATAAATTTTAAAATAACTGCTATTCTATGCATTCAGCAAATGGCAGACTAATCGAATCTACCTGTTGAACCCTCTCTCTCTCTTTCTGCTAGCAGTAAGTAAGAGGAAGAGAGGTGTACACTAACACGTTCGATTTTTCGCCAGCGTTGTCAGACCTAAGGAAATTTCCTTAGGCCTAAAGAATTTAGAACGAGTTAAAATAATTTAGGTTTTGTTCCAAATGAGTTCTTGTTCTCCACCAAGAAATATAAGCAATTATCAACGAAAAAAGTAGGTTATAAAAAGAAATTCATCTGACAATGCTGATTTTTTTGCATATTCCAAAAAGTCATCTGTTATATTTTAAACACAACTGCAAAAAGTACTTACTCGTATACGAACGGTCCTACATCCTGTACCTTAAATTTATTTGCGATTCCATTTCCATAAGCGTCCACATTAGTATAATTAAACAAATGTATTTTTAGTAGGGGCCTCACCGGCGGCATTTTCCAATTTTCGTAAGCTAAAGTATTATTACTTAATACAAAATTCTGCAACAAAAAACAATGACGTTTTCAGTACAATTTACTTAAATATCTATTAGGAAAATAAAGTAGGTGACATTAAATGAGTTTATTTAAATATTTGTACATCAATGAATGCAGGTCAAATTCATTTGTAATATTACTATTTAATGAATATTTTCGTTTTTAAATCGAATCCTTTACTCACCGATAATACTGCTCTATCAAAGGTACCCGTGAACCACATCACTATAGAACCCGTCAAACTAGATAGAAAAAGAAGGAACAGACCGGATAAAACTGTAAAAAAAATAATAAAAATTTTTAGGAATTAATTCCTAAAATAATATAAAGATATATACATAATACCCTTTTAATGTTGCATAGTAATCGAATAATTAACCCTCTTGCCCTTTCCAATTATTTATTACCGATTGAAAAAAGTTTAGAGGGCATAGTTGAAAAAATATATATAATGTGGGGTGTCATTTGAAAGGTATAATAACAAATAAATCAAAAATGTGTTTCTCGAAACTTTGATTGTCATTTTTGCAGCAATATTGCTAAATACTTACTTAAAAAAATATTTTCTTTTAATTCTAAGCCGCTCTTTTGCATCTTACAAACTGTCTGAATTAATTTAGAATTTATATTCAATTAAAGAAGCCACTTAAATAATTAAACAAATAATTCATAAAATATGGCGAAGGTGCTCGACATCACGTTCATTAGGTAGTTATAAATATCCTAATTAGAAATGAAAAATAAGTTTAGCAAGCACTGATAAAATAAATTAATTTAACATTTAAGCATAATTATTTAGTAGTCAAAACAATGGAATTATGTAAATTTTAATATTTAATTAGCAAAGTTGAATTGGCACCCGTAAAACATAATAAGTAGATAGTAATTAACATAAGAAAATCATCTTTTTTTTTATTTTATCAAAAATGTTATTTATCGTACGGCGCCTACGTGATAATTAAAGCGCAAATTATAAGCAAAGATTGTCGTGCTGCGATTTTATTCAAAAACGCTAAATATAAAGATACATTTTTAAATATTTATAAACATTCTGATTAAGTTCTTGTATAGCTCAATTATAACCAAACAAAATCATTGATAAGTTATTTATCGAAAAAGTGAAGAAGGGAGACAGGATGTCATAAAAGCGGTTACCATGGGAGCAAATTTATTTTAATAAACAATTCAAAAGGACTTGATAAGTATAAATCCGCTTGTTAACTAATTAATTACCTACTTGGCAGACGTACATATATCCTGCAATATTATTTAAATGTTTGCGAAAGGTTTAGTTAAATAAGTGAGGTTAAATAATCGTTTTATAATACTTACAATATGGCGACGTACGGCCATATTGTTAAAATTAATAGAAAATTCGATTTCTATTTAAAGAATATTCATCAAAAAATCTTGGAAATAAACCTTGTCTATTGTTAACGAATGGTTTATTATTTTACTTATAATTTGAATATAATAATTGCCTAGTTATTTAGTTTTATTGTTTTTCCCCAAATTTTCGTCATTTGTTTATAAAAATCCGTTACTATAGGAACATGTGGTTACATTGTTATTTAATAAATATTTGAGTAGAAATACTGATTTTAAATAAGAGCCGAAAGAAAATTATGATAAAGAAATAGAATACTGTGGAAAATCGATAACAAATCGATAGTTTATTAATCTCTAAACGCAGAAAAAAAATTATTCGTCTAGACATCCAAGTGCACCAAAGGTTATCATTTTAATAAGACTACAAATACAATTCATGCGTCTACTCTACTCATAAAAAAAATAAATCGGAAGTTGTATATGTTATTATTACTAGTATGCAAGACAAATTTGTTCTTCGATCTGTTGACTTTCTTATTAGAACATCATAAACATTTGTCCAATTTGTTCCTATTATCAAGTCTGGTACAGAAATGATAACAATGAAACAATATATTTACTTGGTTTCCGTCTTAAAAATAGCTGTTTCATTGAAAAACAATAATATCAACGTCTAATATTGGCTACAACTTATTAGAATAGGCTTCAGTAACAGGTATGTACATTATTGCTATGTATTTGAACGCAACTTTTCTTCGAGAGAATAGTGATTGGTAGCTTTCATTGTCAATCGTTTAAAATTTGAATGCACCCTTTTTCTTTGTTGCAAAAGAATAATCCGCCCTGATTGGTTGTTTGAGGATGGAGTGGGTAACAATTGAAAGTCGCACATAGAGGCTTACTTTTATTTTGAAGTTTTGAAGCAAATAATTGCATTACTTTTTCTTAGTCTCTTAATTTTCTTTGATACCAATTATAATGGAACACATAAATTTTGAAAAGAAATGTAACATTGCTACCAACTGAACTGTTTAGTTAATAACGAGACAAAAGCGGGAAAATCAGCAGTGTTACTGTTTCTAACGCCTATTAGATGTCGCCTCTTGACATCATGGACAAAATCACGATTAAAAATTAATTAATGATTATTTATAAGACGGAAAAAATCATACGAGGTTTAACCTTTATGTAGATAACTTTAAAATTAGACGATATATTATCAAATTTTTTGAATGGAATTATTATATTGTTTACGTCAATGTGAAGTACAAACATAATATTGTTCACGCTTTTAAAAATTACCTACGTGAAATTGCTAGAATTGAATCTTATCGTAATTCAAAATCCAACGTTGCTCAATAAAGGAAATTCATAATAAAATAATTTTTCATTTAACTCTGCAATAGTTTTGTACTAAAAGCTTGTTTGTACGTTATAAGGGAGTCAATTTCCCCGCATATGTACAGTGTGTTCTGAAAAAATAAACCACTTTTTTAGCAAAAGTGGAAGAGTCATGATTACCTACTTTCTAATTAGAAAAATTGCACAGGAAATTGAGCAAAAATCGATAGCATTAAGTAAAAGAAGTAATAGAGAAAGATACCCCCATTAATCAGAGTATAGGGGATGGAGGTATTCATTTTTTCCAAAAATCGAGAAAAATGCGAGCAAAGAAAAATAACTAGACACAAAAAAACTATATTGAATGTGTTATTAATAACTATTGCTATACTAGAAAAAACAAGTTATAAATATGTGTATTTTGACTTCCGACGATAAACTTTAACATCATTTCGATCACACCACTGTGTTATTGACTCACGTAAATACCCATCTTCATACATAATAATAGTCATTCAACGATAATATCGTCAAAGGAAATTTTACCAATGGTCAAAACACTTAAATTTCATTCACATGTTTCTTATTAAATTCATTCCTTTGCGTTTTTAATTGTTTTGTGACACTTAGAATTAAACGACCGACGCCAATATATTTTAATAAAGCAGATAGTTTTCTATAAACGCCATTGGCTATTTTTTTTTTCACAATGTAAGCTATAGTAAAACAAAAATAGTGCTATGCAAGGGAAGAAAATGTAGGGAAAGAGCGAATATAAAGATAGGAGACGAAAAATTAGAAGAAGTGGCTGATTTTAGGTATCTAGGAAGTCAGATAAATCAGGACGAAAGGAGTAGAACGGATATAAAGCAGAGGATAGCGCAGACTCGAGTCCTTTTTAATAAAAAGAAGTCACTTCTATGCTCACGAACGGTTAATTTAGAAATAAGAAAAAGATTGTTAAAGGTGTATGTTTGGAGCGCGACGCTGTACGGGTGCGAAACATGGACAGTGGGCGCGGCGGAAAGGAAAAGGTTAGAAGCCTTCGAAATGTGGTGTTATAGACGGATGATGAGGATAACTTGGGTAAAAAAGGTTATAAATGAAGAGGCATTAGAAAGAATAGGAGAACAGAGGACTCTATGGAAGTCAATAAGAAATAGGCGAAATAGGTTGGTAGGACACCTTCTCAGGCATGAAGGTCTAGTCAGAGATATATTAGAGACAGAAACAGTAGTTAGGAGGGGTAGAGGTGGACCTAGATTAGATTACTGTTCGCAAATAGTTAAGGATGTAGGATGTTCTAGTTTTGGGTAAATGCGAAGAATATCTCAGGATAGGAAAGGGTGTGGATGCGTGTCCAGCCAGTCTTAGGACTGACGACCTTATAATGATGTAAGCCATAGTTGGGCTAGAATATTTTAAAAACGATGCGTACAATTGAGTGTAAAGTTGGTTACGTAGTATGGAAGTATGACCTTTAACCATCTGGACGACCGCGATGTCACCAATATTTATTTATCCAAACTTTCAGAGTGAATTTATAGGAATATAATATATAGATAACTAATACAGTTGTAGTTTTTACGATTACAATAGTTTATTAAATTTTTAATCGTAAATATATTTTATTTTTAATGTTTTGAGTTATTTCGGGTTCACTTAAGAGAATGTCTAATTCAGTCAGATTTCACGGATTTCGTGTCAAATCATCTCATCAGCGGGCGTACTGGCGCCTCTCACTAATGATGAAGCTGTCAGTAGCATATTCTAGAGTTTAAAACCTTGTAGCCGCCATCTTAGGTGTTGGTGCGTAAATCCCTTTAGCGAAAACTAACCTTACAATAAATATAAATAAAATATCGATAGGACCGCTGTCACCCAGATGGCCAAACAACGCACCTCTATGATAGATACTTGCTTTTTTCGAAACTTTACACAAAATTGTACGTATTAATATTGAAAATATTTTAGCATCTAGTACATCAACATGAGGGATCTATATATGCCTAGCCACTGTTGCTTATGACGTTTCACCTTTTAATGAAATATTTTTGTTGTCATCTTTCGACTAGGTTAATCGATGAGAAAAAATTTAATGAAACCATAACTTGTAATGGTTTTATTGTAAAATTGGTCGTTTCTTAGTCATAAAAAAACATCTAAATTTTAAAAACTAATAAACTAACAAAATTGCATCTCAACTAAAAAATGTCTAAAAACCTTATTTTTTTATCGACGAGCTATTGGGGTATGATTTTGTAAGATGTTTTTTGTTGAATTTGGATATACTTGTTAGAGAATTTTGTTTTGTAATTGTTGAAATTTTTTCAAAAACAAATCTATTGTCCAAAAATACTTAATCGTTTGAAATTTTCACTAAATAACTATTAGCAGTTTTTCTTAACTACATTTCTTGAAACACTATATGTGTAACAATATTTATTTTATATTACTACGAAATACTGAACCGAATAGCCATTACATTTAAAAAATCTGATTCAACAAATTGTGTCTGGTGAAATGAAAATGGGAAAAGGGGGAAAACTTAGAATTTAATATCCCAAAAATCATTTTTTTTCTTAATATTTTGGTAATATGTTTTCCAGAATTTTATGCTTTGTAATTTGCGAGATTTTCTTCAAAAACAGATTCGCTTTTTCCAAAAATAATCGTTTAGAAATTTCCTTACCCCATATCCTTCTGGTTTTCAACACATATCCGCAGATGTTAGTTTTTTTAGGGGCGATGTCTTTCAATTCAATAATGTCCAAGAACTCTTTCGTAATTGCCGGTGTTTTTGAAAATATTTGTCCACAATTCGTTTCTAAATTCGAGGGGGGGCTGTTGTTGTGCACTTCGCGCAAATAATCGAGACTGGGGTAAATTTTGGCCATAATAACCCGTTAATTAATGAATTAATAAGTGATTCAAAACAATAAATCAAAGCTAAATCCGCACTTTTCATTCACACATCAACTCGCGAAAGTCAATTGACTTTTCTTGCTGTTACCAATCGACTGTAAAAGCATTAATGAAAGAAATTATCTTTATTCTTGATTATATTATTAGCGGAGAGTAAGTTGAAATGTTATCATGGACATGTTTGTACATACACACATGCCTACATGTATAATGACGGAATTTTATCAATTAAAAGAAAGTTTAGTTAACACGTTCGGTGCATGTTCGGAAAATGACATAACAATTCCATATACGAGAGCATGCTCAAAAAAATGGTTATTTAATTCATTTTTTTCGTTAAGATAGCAAGTTCTTCACCCCTATTAATTCACTTTTGTGACCAATTTGTTTAATCACTTTATTTGTGTTAAAAATTGTTCGAAAAATTAAATTTAAAGGAATTGTTTGTAAATAGGTATGCAACACATCATACACTTCAGCATAAGAAATTGCTGATACTAACTACGTAATACTACTTTGCCCTCTGCTGACAGCACTCATAATTT